TCCTGTTACCTTCCAAACAACTCGAAGACGTATTACACAACCACCTCGCCATCCGTTCCATTGGTTAATTGTCAAAATTCCTGTTGTGCAAGGGGGGAAGAGGGCTCTGACGGAGTGTGCGGCGGGAGAGGGCAGGGAATGGGCGGGGGGGGGGGGGGGGAGCTCAGCCGTGCAAAAAGCATCAATTAATATATTAACGAAGAAATATTGCTCGGCCGTTCATGAAGTCCGTCTCGATCTGGAGGAGACGGGTCAACCCCGTGAGGACCAGATCAGGTTCACATTGTCGTAGCCGGAGGGGATGTTGACCTTTAGCTCTTGGAGCCAACCTTTCGCTTTGGTTTTTTCCCCCAAAACCATTCGGCCAACTTATACCAAATTCGACGATTGCATTTCGATTGCTTTTACCACTCGGGCAAACTCGATGAAACGGTGGACGGAAAGCGCGTTCGCGGCCGCTCGCCGGAGAGCTATGCATGAAGCGGCCGGCGCGCCACCGCAGCTCACCGATGGAGCTTGCGCCGCGGCTCAATCCACAGGCGCAGCAGCATTGCGACCCATTCTCCAAGCACGGCCTCTGGCGTTGCGAGTGCACAGAGAGCGAGCAATAGTCGACAAAAGCACTGATCTGTGGGCAGCAGATCTCCATGTCGGTCGCGCCCTGCGAAAGGACAACCGCGGGCCGCGGATTTCACGTTGTAGAGCGCCTCTACATCGCTCTACAACGCAGGCGCTTCGTCACGCGGCGGATGTAGAGCTCTACAGCTCTACAGCGCTCCACATCGCTACAGCTCTACAGCGCTCTACACTCTACATCCTCTACACCCTCCCTCAGCCTTTCCCCTCCTGCTCTCCTATGCCACGTACGTGGCTGTGGTGTGTTTGGGTTGTCTATGACTATGTTTGCGATTTGGATTTTGGATTTTGTACTGCACCTTGTTTATTTTATTTATTTATCCGCGCCCCCCGGTCCCCCCATCACCGCCCAGGGGCAGGGCACAAGGGCCATTCCGCCAAGGCCACGGCAAGGGAGGGCCCGCGCCGCCCCCGCACGCTCGGCCGAGGCGCCGCCGCGCACGCGCTGTGGGGCCTGAATCCTGATCATACTGCGTCTGGTAGGAGGCTGGAGACACCCCGCTAGAGAGACACCCCGGTGTCAAGATAAACCGAGATGGCGTTTGACATCTAGGAGATGCGCATATGCCATCTCTGTGTACGGTAGACCTGGGGGTGGGGGGGGG